CTGCTGTATGTACCACACAACCCCTGTCTCGGCAGTACTGACCAACCGTTGCTACTGCTGTATGTACCACACAACCCCCTGTCTCGGCAGTACTGACCAACCGTTGCTACTGCTGTATGTACCATAATAACCCCCTGTCTCGGCAGTACTGACCAACCGTTGCTACTGCTGTATGTACCACCTAACCCCTGTCTCGGCAGTACTGACCAACCGTTGCTACTCGCTGTATGTACCACACAACCCCTGTCTCGGCAGTACTGACCAACCGTTGCTACTGCTGTATGTACCACACAACCCCTGTCTCGGCAGTACTGACCAACCGTTGCTACTGCTGTATGTACCACACAACCCCTGTCTCGGCAGTACTGACCAACCGTTGCTACTGCTGTATAAAAACCACACAATAACCCTGTCACGGCAGTATTGACCAACCGTTGCTACTGCTGTATGTACCACACACACAACCTCTGACTCGGCAGTACTGACCAACCGTTTGCTACTGCTGTATGTACCACACTAACCTGTCTGACTCGGCAGTACTGACCAACCGTTGCTACTGCTGTATGTACCACACAACCCCCTGTCTCGGCAGTACTGACCAACCGTTGCTACTGCTGTATGTACCATAATAACCCTGTCACGGCAGTACTGACCAACCGTTGCTACTGCTGTATGTACCAATAACAACCCCTGTCTCGGCAGTACTGACCAACCGTTGCTACTGCTGTATGTACCACACAACCCTGTCTCGGCAGTACTGACCAACCGTTGCTACTGCTGTATGTACCACACAACCCCTGTCTCGGCAGTACTGACCAACCGTTGCTACTGCTGTATGTACCACACAACCCCTGTCTCGGCAGTACTGACCAACCGTTGCTACTGCTGTATGTACTGATAAATTACACAACCCCTGTCTCGGCAGTACTGACCAACCGTTGCTACTGCTGTATGTACCACACAACCCCCTGTCTCGGCAGTACTGACCAACCGTTGCTACTGCTGTATGTACCACACAAACCCTGTCTCGGCAGTACTGACCAACCGTTGCTACTGCTGTATGTACCACACAACCCCTGTCTCGGCAGCACTGACCAACCGTTGCTACTTCTGTATATACAACACAAACCCTGTCTCGTCCGTACTGACCAACCGTTGCTACTGCTGTATGTACCACACAACCCGTCTCGTCAGTACTGACTAACCGCTGCTACTGCTGTATGTACCACACAACATCTGTCTCGGCAGTACTGAAACACCCCAACATGTGCCTTCCCATATGTAAAAAATCAACATGTGCCTTCCCAAATAAAACACCCATCATTTGCCTTTCTATATGAAACACTCCAACATGTGCCTTCCCATATGATACACCTCAACATGTGCCTTCCCATATGTAAACACCCCATCATGTGCCTCCCTATCTGAAACACCCAAACATGTGCCTTCCCATATGAAAAACCCCATCGTGTGCCTTCCCATATGAAACACCCAAACATGTACCTTACCTTATGAAACACCAAAGCATGTACCTTCCTGTATGAAACACCCAAACATGTACCTTCCCATATGAAACACCCCAACATGTACCTTCCCATATGAAACACCTCAACATGTGCCTTCCTGTATGAAACACCTCAACATGTACCTTCCCATATGAAACACCTCAACATGTACCTTCCCATATGAAACTCCCAAACATGTGTCTTCCATATGAAACTGTTCAACATGTGCCTTCCTATATGAAACACCTCAACGTGTGCCTTCCCATATGAAACACCTCAACATGTGCCTTCCTCTATGAAACAGCTCAACATGTGCCTTCCCATATGATACACCTCAACATGTGCCTTCCCATATGTAAACACCCCATCATGTGCCTCCCTATCTGAAACACCCAAACATGTGCCTTCCCATATGAAAAACCCCATCATGTGCCTTCCCATATGAAACACCCAAACATGTACCTTCCCTTATGAAACACCAAAACATGTACCTTCCTGTATGAAACACCCAAACATGTACCTTCCATATGAAACTGTTCAACATGTGCCTTCCTGTATGAAACACCTCAACATGTGCCTTCCTGTATGTATGTATGAAACACAAACACCTCAACATCAACATGTTCTTTCCCATATGAAACACCTCCATGTGCCCTGTATGAAACACCTCAACATGTACCTTCCCATATGAAACACCTCAACATGTACCTTTCTGTATCAACATGTACCTTCCTGTATGTGGAAACCTTAAACCATATGAAACACCTCAACATGTACCTTCCTGTATGAAACACCACAAACATGTACTTCCCATATGAAACACTTCAACATGTACCTTCCTGTATGAAACACCTCAACATGTACCTTCCTGTATGAAACACCTCAACGTGTACCTTCCCATATGAAACACCTCAACATGTACCTTCCTGTATGAAACACCTCAACATGTACCTTCCCATATGAAACACCTCAACATGTACCTTCCTGTATGAAACACCTCAACACCATATGAAACTCAACATGTGCCTTCCCATATGATACACCTCAACATGTGCCTTCCTGTATGAAACACCCCAACATGTGCCTTGCATATGAAACACCTCAACATGTACCTTCCTGTATGAAACACCTCAACATGTACCTTGCATATGAAACTGCTCAACATGTGCCTTCCTCTATGAAACACCTCAACATGTGCCTTCTCATATGAAACACTTCAATATGTGCCTTCCTGTACGAAACACCTCAACATGTGCCTTGCATATGAAACACCTCAACATGTGCCTTCCCATATGATACACCTCAACATGTGCCTTCCTGTACGAAACACCCCAGCATATGCCTTGCATATGAAACTGCTCAACATGTGCCTTCCTCTATGAAACACCTCAACATGTGCCTTCTCATATGAAACACCTCAACATGTACCTTCCCATTAATTTAGCATGCTGGCAGGCATTAGTAAGTTTAAATGTTGTTCTGAGAGTAAACGCCTGAAAGATATCAAGCATACATAATGTACTTGAAGGTACTTCACTCGTGAAGGGCCTGATTCTCCCAGTCCCCGCTTCTACTTCACCACGACCTCGTGCGTGCTGTAATTAAACTCATGTTGGACACTTTAGACACATCAATGTGCCTTCGGGTTAAAACTAACTGGTGCTACATTGCATGGTCCCCGGGCACAAACAATTATTTTGTGGTACGGTCTTCTAGTCAAAATAATTATATTGTGATAAGGTCCTGAGGTCAAAATAACTACATGGATATCACATGGTTCTCGGGTGAAAACAATTACGTGTGTCACTATATTGGTCTCGGATCTAACAACTATATCGTGATAGGTCCTCGGTTGTGACAAGTGTTCCTTGGTACGGTCCCCGGGCCAACTGTATGGCGACACGGCCCAACGTGTGGAATGATTGCAGAGGCAACTGGCGTTAATCATTCATGATATTGATATGGTGGACACTCAGCGGAAAACGACGCTCCCCGATGTGGATTATCCCATCATCCACACAGCGGCGTCACAAACGTCTCCCATCTCCACTCATCACTGACACCTTGGGTTTCCTGTTTGTTCTGGCACTACTTCATCAGTCATATACAGCTTGCTGTACAGACTGCAGATCTATTGATGTCGACCAGGTTGTTAACGACGTGAGTGGTTCGTCTAGCGGCGACAACAACGACGTCCTTGTGAGCAGTGCGAGCACTGATGTCTGATGGTAGTATATACGGACACGATGGTGTCACCTGTATGGACTCTATAGTAGATTGTTTCTCTCCCATCACAGTAATAACAGTATCGCCAATACAGGTTACCTGACCAGCTTCTACATGCCAAGATCTTACCGATAATACAGAGAAAACGGTGCTAAATGTTTGAATAAATACAATTAATTTTATTCATCTTCATTCTGCTTGACGTGCGTGTGTGTATGTGTGTGTGTGTGTGAGAGAGAGAGAGAGAGAGAGAGAGAGAGAGAGAGAGAGAGAGAGAGAGAGAGAGAGAGAGAGAGAGAGAGAGAGAGAGAGAGAGAGAGAGAGAGAGAGAGAGAGAGAGTGAGTGAGTGAACAAACGGAATGCCAAGTCGGACATTATCGCGCTGCAGTTTCTTGCCGCGGCCTCTCTGCCTCCCTCTTTACCCTTCCAACAAGAAGTAGAGTGTACCAATGTTACAAGACCTGTGTGGCTTGGAGCTGGTCGGTCAAGTGCGCTGAGTGATCTATTGGGTCTAGCTGCTCGGCAGTGAAATGGCTTAACACTGAGTTCAGTACATACTGGAGGTGTGGATTGCTTTAAGATCGACAAACTGCAACTCAAAGGACAACCTGCTACGCGTGAACTTGCCCAGTTCACTACATATTGTACCAGCATGAAGGCTGACACACGCATGGGTGGGATGTGAGTCCAATGTTAGCATAACTGACTAGAGGCGGCTCCGTCAGAAAGCAGTCCACATGGCACTGCATACAACCACATAGGATGATAGGAGTAAAACGTTCGCTGTATCTGTGCTGTATGTGTGATGTATCCTTGACGAGTTGGTACCCAGGGACTGTTTGAGCACCTAGTGTGTGACAGTGTGACACAGGGTCTGTTTGAGCACCTAGAGTGTGACAGTTGGATACGGGGTCTGTTTGAACACCTAGTGTTTGACAGTGTGACACGGACTGTTTGAACCCCTAGTGTATGACAGTTTGAGACAGGGTCTGTTTGAACACCTAGTGTGTGACAGTGTGACACAGGGTCTGTTTGAACACCTAGTGTGTGACAGTGTGACACGGACTGTTTGAACACCTAGTGTGTGACAGTGTGACACGGACTGTTTGAACCCCTAGTGTATGACAGTTTGAGACAGGGTCTGTTTGAACACCTAGTGTGTGACAGTGTGACACAGGGTCTGTTTGAACACCTGGTGTGTGACAGTGTGACACAGGGTCTGTTTGAACACCTGGTGTGTGACAATGTGACAGTGTGACAGTACTCACCTATACTGATGTCGATGTCCCCCATGTAGTCAGACGTTGTGAACTGGCGAGCAATGGACGTTTTGCCCACCCCCATACTACCGACAACTAACACTTTGAAAGGGTTAATCCCGAAAGCCGAGCCAGTGCTGTTGGCCACGCTGGTCTGGGAGAGCGAGCTGGACGTCCGAGACAGGGGGGTCAACTCTGTCATGCTCCCGCTGCCAGAACTCAGCACACTGTTTGTACTCCTTGACCGGAGCGAGTCCCCCCTGTTCACAACACGTCCTTTAGAAGTGGTCACAAATGACCTCAGAGTATAAACACTGTCATATTCCGCACATTCGCTGTAAGGAGACAAATACTTCACTGGCTTCTTCAAGTCATTCCGTGTAGGCAAACTACTTGTCCTTGGTCTCATTTCTTCTAATTCAACATTCTCAAAAAATCGTCTTTTAGGTTTCTTCAGGGACGTTGCCCTTTTCTTGGGTCGAGGACTTATATTTAAATTGGACATTTGTTTGATCGGGCTGTCTCTGCCCCTGGAGGGACTACCAAACTCTCCCTGGTACTCCGCCATGACCCTAGAGCTTCTCACCATGCCACTTCACACACGCGCATTTACAAACGCTGGTTAATCCTGACATCTAGTCACAGTGAACGCTGGCATTGATTTTCATCTCGATCCTCGACGAGCGTTTGCCAGTACCCACTGTGACGCTGCTGCCGCTGTAGCAGCCTATAGTCGCACAGGTTGCGGGAGCGAATGACTGTTTAATGCGCAGCTTAACATCGAACAGAGTATGCGCGGTCGTTACTAGTCACTACAGGCCAACCACGGTTACCAGACAGATTCTGGTACATAGTTCGGTGTCAGGAGTTGCGGACAGGAGTTGTGTCTTGTGTTGTGTGGCATGACATTAGCTTTCTATCATGATCATGTTGATGTGAAGTACAGTGTAGTCAATACATGTGATTGGGGTTATGCATTAATGAAACAGTGTTTGCTACTTGTCGGTACATCTGTGCTCAGTATTTTGTTTCGCGAGGAAAGACTCCTTTAAGTCTCCAGCTTCATGTGTTGTTGTCTACTGCCATGGACGACACCCACACATCACCTTGGATACGACATCGGCAGGGCCACAGACAGGTGGACTCAGGACTCAGACACATGTCCAATTGACTTATTATTACCTCAGTGAAACCTTACACAACCTGATGACAGCGCTCCCGGCACAAACATCGTAGAGGACCTTACCACAGCGCTCGCCATCCCCGGCACAAACATCGTAGAGGACCTTACCACAGCGCTCGCCATCCCCGGCACAAACATCGTAGAGGACCTTACCACAGCGCTCGCCATCCCGGCACGCATCATACCACCCTCGGCACAAACATCGTAGAGGACCTTACCACAGCGCTCGCCATCCCCGGCACAAACATCGTAGAGGACCTTACCACAGCGCTCGCCATCCCCGGCACAAACATCGTAGAGGACCTTACCACAGCGCTCGCCATCCCCGGCACAAACATCGTAGAGGACCTTACCACAGCGCTCGCCGGCACAAACATCGTAGAGGACCTTACCACAGCGCTCGCCATCCCGGCACAAACATCGTAGAGGACCTTACCACAGCGCTCGCCATCCCCGGCACAAACATCGTAGAGGACCTTACCACAGCGCTCGCCGCCATCACAAACATCGTAGAGGACCTTACCACAGCGCTCGCCATCCCGGCACAAACATCGTAGAGGACCTTACCACAGCGCTCGCCATCCCCGGCACAAACATCGTAGAGATCGCCATCCCGGCACAAACATCGTAGAGGACCTTACCACAGCGCTCGCCATCCCCGGCACAAACATCGTAGAGGACCTTACAAACACAGACCTTACCACAGCGCTCGCCATCCCCGGCACAAACATCGTAGAGGACCTTACCACAGCGCTCGCCATCCCCGGCACAAACATCGTAGAGGACCTTACCACAGCGCTCGCCATCCCCGGCACAAACATCGTAGAGGACCTTACCACAGCGCTCGCCATCCCCGGCACAAACATCGTAGAGGACCTTACCACAGCGCTCGCCATCCCCGGCACAAACATCGTAGAGGACCTTACCACAGCGCTCGCCATCCCCGGCACAAACATCGTAGAGGACCTTACCACAGCTCGCCATCCCCGGCACAAACATCGTAGAGGACCTTACCACAGCGCACATAGCTAATACAGACAACAGTTGCCATGCTCTCCCACCACTACAGTGCATGTTCCCCTGCACGTGAGTTCTATATTTTCGTGATGGTCCATCTTGGTCTCCTACACCTGGCTCTGACCATTCACGTATTACAACACGATATATTCTCGTGAAACGGCTTCTGATGATTTAGTCAAGCAGCAACAGTACACCTCGGCCAGGGGTGAGCGTAGACACGGTTAGATTGAGCCGTTACGACAATGTTTGATGTCCTGACTATCTGACAACCCTCAGTGAGCACAAATATCTCTGATCAGCGCACTGCCACCTCCCGCAAACATTGGCCATCAAACACCGACATTATCAACCTACACATACCGCCATTGCTTTCATTGCAGTGAAGTGAAGTCCGACATGAGCTATCTCCGGTGATTACAGGACTATATGCAACTGACAGATCAGTATTGAGACACAGCTAGTCAACTGGCTAGTTCTCTGGCTAGTCAACCACACATGCATTGCCCTGACAGCTCTCTGGCGCCGTGTGATCTGGCGCCAATATTCATCACGGGGATTTTGTTGTGCAGCTCCTACTGAATGAATATCCGCCAGTATCACGCTTCGGGTGGTTGAGTGAGTGGTTGAGTGAGTGGTTGAGTGAGTGCGTGCGTGCGTGCGTGCGTGCGTGCGTGCGTGCGTGCGTGCGTGAGTGAGTGAGTGAGTGCGTAAACGAGTGAGTCCTACCAACAACGGACATGTATCCTGGACTAAAGGCTGTCCCCTCCCTGAGAGGGTGTGCAGTGGACAAGACCGGGCAATAGCATCTGATTCATGATAAAGAAACACGTTTGGAGACAGTTAGTACTTGTTCAATTTAAAAGCAGTTGATCAACATGATAGTATGTGAAAATCACTGAACTAAATTTGAAAGCCATTGGAAAGACTTGACTACCGGGCAAATGAAAGTTATCACCAACTTCACTTGACCCCCCAATAGAAATATAGATGTATATGAGATTTATGATAATTATTTTACAAACAGAAATCAGTTTACAATAATTTGACTTAAAGTTTATTGTAATGCTAATTTGCCGAAATTCATTAAGAACAGTCAAGGGGTCAATATTAAAAATTACCCAAATGACCTCAGATGAAATGTTCCAATGTATTGCTTCTATGATGTTTTAATCCATTTTCTTATTGACTGTAAACTTGAGAAGAGAACTTAGGCTTGAGCAGAATCCTCAGAGATGTGAGTAGGAACAGAGGGATGATCTGGTTACAGCTGTCACCCACGACGTGTTGCCCATTAACAGTCTTTGTCATCGTCACTTGTTCTCACTTTTCATTTCCCCTTCTGGGGCGTATTTCATTGATACCTCTTGCTGACGGAGGTGAAGAGGCATGTCTGAACACTGGACTTGAACAACTCATACTGTAGGTGCTGCATAGGCCCTGTCCATAGCCTTAAACGTTTGGAATGAATGAATGTCATTTAGATGCACGCATAAACTTTACATAGTCAAATCTCAATAAGATCATGGAACTTTTTCAAGCAATAAGGTTTAAAATAATAATAATGATTTATAAACACCCAACAAAGTTTCGAAATACGCTGTAATCGGTTGATCATGGTGTTCTGCGTGCTGTGGGGAGACAAACTTGCTGTATGGTGTGACCAGGTTGATACAAATGAATCCTACAAATGTCACCGCACACAATATCTCCAGTGTGAAGATTCTTCAATGGTGCAGTTTCCTGATGAATCTTCTACATGGTCGTCACTTCCGGAATCGTGTCTGCATTGGATAAAAGCCCATTTTGGTCAACCTGATAGATTACAGACGAGACATGAATTTACATACACTGGTGTTGATGGGGCGGTATCACTGGTGTTGAGGGGCGGTATCACTGGTGTTGAGGGGCGGTATCACTGGTGTTGAGGGGCGGTATCACTGGTGTTGAGGGGCGGTATCACTGGTGTTGTCCTAGTTTTGTTACTGGAACTGGCCTTATACAAGTTTGCTGAACGCCAGGTTCATGAATCACGCCTTCATCGTTATCTTGCATCTCCTAAAACATTCCATAGCATAGCTCACCTGTACAAGACAGCGAGTTGTCGGTATTTGATATCGCCGCTGTAAAGTCACCACAGATAAAATAAGGGCCCGTCATTTCTCTGAGACATATTGTGCCTGTAAAAGTCACCACAGATAAAATAAGGGCCCGTCAATTCTCTGAGACATATTGTACCTGTAAAATTCCCCACAAAATAAAATAAGGGCTGACATTTTGATGCATCAACCTTAGGGTTTACTTGGAGTTTAGACAACAGTAACAAAAGCTTTTTGTATTTCCCATAAAGGACTGTTACTGCACGAGACTCATCCACTCATTTTGAGAATTTGAATTCCAGTGAACACACACACACACACACACACACACACACACACACACACGCACGCACGCACGCACGCACGCACGCTAACAAGGAAGCGTGGTGACCTATTTCATACAAAATCTCAATCAGTACTAAGGGCAACATATTAATTTTTGTGTTTCTCATCGCACCACCGACCCTTCTAATTTTACTGTGAGGACTGGCACCAGACAGGTTTGTGAGGGGTGGTATCAAGGACAGGACAGGGAAAAGACAGGTTTGTGAGGGGTGGTATCAAGAAGAGGACTGGCACCAGACAGGTTTGTGAGGGGTGGTATCAAGAAGAGGACTGGCACCAGACAGGTTTGTGAGGGGCGGTATCAAGAAGAGGACTGGCACCAGACAGGTTTGTGAGGGGTGGTATCAAGAAGAGGACTGGCACCAGACAGGTTTGTGAGGGGCGGTATCAAGGAGAGGACTGGCACCAGACAGGTTTGTGAGGGGTGGTATCAAGGAGAGGACTGGCACCAGACAGGTTTGTGAGGGGTGGTATCAAGGAGAGGACTGGCACCAGACAGGTTTGTGAGGGGTGGTATCAAGGAGAGGACTGGCACAAGACAGGTTTGTGAGGGGCGGTATCAAGGAGAGGACTGGCACCAGACAGGTTTGTGAGGGGTGGTATCAAGGAGAGGACTGGCACCAGACAGGTTTGTGAGGGGCGGTATCAAGGAGAGGACTGGCACCAGACAGGTTTGTGAGGGGCGGTATCAAGGAGAGGACTGGCACCAGACAGGTTTGTGAGGGGTGGTATCAAGAAGAGGACTGGCACCAGACAGGTTTGTGAGGGGCGGTATCAAGGAGAGGACTGGCACCAGACAGGTTTGTGAGGGGTGGTATCAAGGACAGGACCAAACAAGTTTGTGAGGGGTGGTATCAAGGACAGGACCAGACAGGTTTGTGAGGGGTGGTATCAAGGACAGGACCAGACAGGTTTGTGAGGGGCGGTATCAAGGAGAGGACAGGACCAGACAGGTTTGTGAGGGGTGGTATCAAGGACAGGACAGACCAGACAGGTTTGTGAGGGGCGGTATCAAGGAGAGGACTGGCACCAGACAGGTTTGTGAGGGGTGGTATCAAGGACAGGACCAGACAGGTTTGTGAGGGGTGGTATCAAGGAGAGGACTGGCACCAGACAGGTTTGTGAGGGGTG